GGCTTTAAATCATCTGTGTCTTGCTGGAAGGTTGTGACCTTGCCTTTCATGAGTGGGTCTTCCCACAGTTCTTTGTGCTTTGTCTAGTTTTTCTGGTTGTGTTATGGTTGATAGAGTGGCAATATATTGAAGAAAAAAAGGTTGACATCCAGGCTTTTTCTCTACCTTTCTTGACAATCCTATAACCTCTCTGGGCCTAAGCCCTGTTTGTCATGATTTCACTGACTTGACGTTCATGTTAGTGTCACTATTTGATACACTTATCCAAACTATTCACAGGCTTTCCTACCTAATCTCCTCTTAGGACTCCTAATATGTTCTCACCTCCAAGTGTTGAGTTAGTGACAGAAAAGACTGCATGGAAAAATGGGGGACGAGGGGCAGAGGATGGATTGCTGCAATCTGGTATATATGAGTTATTCTTTCCCCCCACCCTTTTCCTCTTCTGGTCTGTAGAGACCTTTCCAAATCAGACCCATATTTTTATCCCACCCAGGATGTGTACCACAGTGTTGACTTTTACCGATAATTGCGTGCCCTCAGGGGATTTGACTGGCTTAGGATCGCTCATGATCCTATGAGATCCTTGCCCTAAAGAGATTTTAGTTCTTAGACTTCCTAAATCTTTGGAGCGTATTTTTGATGATCAATACATTTGTTTTGAGTTTCTCAATACATGAAAGGGGATGGAGTCCAGGATCTGGGTTATTCCTTTGGTGGGAGATAAGAGTAAGTGTAGGCAAAGGATATTATATTTATTGTTACTCAGAAGCATAATGGATAAAATTAATCTTTTGGTAAAATGAGTCTCTTTTGTGTTTGTGTTCTCCAGAAGCTGCATTCATATTTCATCATCGAGGGATGAAAAACATGGGTGGTGTGTTGTGGGTTTTTTGTTTGTTTGTTTGTTTGTTTTTTCTTTAACCTTGGGTCAACTGACATGATGTAAAATTGCAGTAAGAACAGAACCATTTTGGATAACATAGCTATTTTGTGAACAGAGTTAAAATATAAGGTGTATATAAAACCTTAATTGTTGAAATGGCAACTGGTTTAGCTTCAGCACATTTTTCTTCATGTTTATCTTGTATAAGTACCTTACTCTTACAGAATATTTCGGGCAGTTATTGCTTTTGTACACATAACTTTGCAGGTTTTTATTAAGCATAAACTTTAAAAATTTCTGCTGTGATAGAGCTGGCCTATTTGCATTTTTTTTTCTTCATGGGATAGGCATTTTCTGTTGGATAGACGATGTCCATGCTTGTTGTTTTGGACATACTAAAGAAACAACTCTGAGATTACAAAATCAACACTTTGAGGAAAAGGGATGTCACAGTTTGCTTTGTTAACAATTCTTTCATCCTGGCTTTAGGGAACAAAACAAGTACACTTGCCTTGATGTGTAGGTTATGTAGTAACCAGAAGGATGAGGAAGCTCTGTAGAAGTAAAGTCTTTTTTTTGAGGTTTGAGGTAAAACTGTGGAGTTGCAGCCCTATAATTCTCCCAAGTGTATCCAATTTGGCTTTTCCAAGAGAAATGCTAATTATGGTCTTGGACTTGATTTCTTTTTTTCTGTTAGAGTTGATTGAAATACTTCTCCTTGCATTTTCTTACAAGCTTTTGAAATATTTTGTATCTGCCACTGGGAGAAATTACTTTAAATTAGATTACTAATCTGGATCATGATCTTTCAGGAAAGTGGAGCTTGACTGTGTTTATTGAGCTGTTTTCTGCATACTGTAGTTTGGTACTTACTCACCAAAAGATTACGCCATCTCTTTTATATCTTGGATCACTTCTCATCATTTTATGTTAGATGAAATATTCATTGCAAAGAGAGGTTTCATGTGTTTAAATTGGCTTTTTGTTTCTCTTTAAAAGGAATGTAGTGCTATTTTATACTTAAAATTAGTGCTAGTATGTTGACTTCTCATTAGTTTGGTTCTCTTAAGGGGGAAAAAAAAAACCCCAGTCTCTGACTGTGTAGCTAAAAATTGCTGTAAAGTGTTCTCCCTATTCTCAATCAGCTAAATGTAGAAACATTTTACCAAAAAGCTTGAGCTATTGGTTTAGTTTATATATTTTTCAAGGGTAAATATAACTGGCAAAATGTGAAATTTGTGAGGATGTATTTGAATACTTTGAATACTGCACTTTAAAACCATTTCTGTAAGCTTATACTTACATGCTGAAGAAAGAAAACGTTATGCCACCCTGTAGGTTGCTATAAAGATTGTTTATGCAGCTCAGTGTAGGACTTAAAATACGTTGAATTGGAGAATTTTGAAAAATGTACTGTGTGACATAGGAGACCAAATCATGCTAAAGTGCAAGGAAAGACTATACATCAGTTCAAAGGCTACATTATTCAAAAAAATACAACCATAAAAAAGGTAATAAGATTACATTCTCACACTTCATGGCTAGTAAGGTGCATTAAGCTGCTCAGATATTCATAACTTACTGTGACATTTGGGAAGATTACATTTTGCTGTGCACAGCCATTACTGCAGCTCAGATAATAAGTAGCCAATGCATGGACCTGGATTATGATCCCTGTCATTGGAAACAAATTTGTGTTTTGAAGGTTGATCAGTTTCAAATCACCATTAGAAAGGGTTAATATGAAATACTGTGGGGGGTGTGTGTGCTTATGTGTACCTAATGGGTATGCATACATATAGTACATCAGCTGCACTGTGCCTTTGGTATATTGCTTTCTCTGACAATTTTTTTGTCCTCACTTCCCTTAAAGGAAATGTTAAAATGGTAATTATTTCTACCGTAGCATATTATTTCTAGAATGTACTTGCTGAAATGCTTATGTTTGCAGATTAGATTGGAAACCTAATTTGACAGCTTCCTGGATGGGTGGTTACTGATAATAGTGTATCTAGCCAAAAATGAAAAATTGGTGGTGTAGGCTATAGGGTGAAGGTAAGGTCACCTCTAGTTGCCGTATATGGTTTTGGTGTGATAATTGATGGTTGGCTGATAGTTAAAACCAAATGCATAAAGAGCTGAATTTCTTGTTAAGAATTAGCCGGTGCTTTGTGGCTAGAATTTAACCTTCAGCTATTCTGTCTGTACACAGAATGCAGTGTTTTCTTTGTTTCTTACCTTGATGATGAGAAAGAGAATGGCTTCTTGAGGAATACCTGAGTTTTGTAGAGTATTATAAATTTAGTGTAAAATACAGTGTGACATTAGTTATTTTACATTTTCAGATGGTTTCTTCAGGGTTTTTTAAGGGCGGGGTGTACTTTTTTCATTGAATTTGGTTTGCAGTAATTCTGTGTAATCCATTCTGCTCAGCATTCTCTGTTGAATTCTGCCTTGCAGAGCTTTCTTGAGGTAGGCCTCTGCTCCATCTTACGGAAGAGGGAAACCGAGGCTTGGAGAATGATAATGACTTGATAGGTTTCTTTGAGCTGACAGTGTGAGTTGATATAGAGAAGCTAGGAATATAATTCAAGTCTCCCCATTCAGTTCTTGCCGTTTCCCTAGATATTAAGGAAGCATCTGATAGTAAATTGCATAATTATTTTTCGTGACCTAGAGGGGAGAAAATGGAAAAGCGTAAATTACTGTTTAGAAATTGTTGCCATGAGACATTGTCTATTCTGTCATAAAAGCAGTAACTTTCTCTGCTTCATGTGGTGTTTGGCATTACTGATTTATGCCCAGAAGACCAAAGATTGCTTCTTCAAAGTGACAAGATTTAGACACTTGAGGAAAATGTATGGTAATTTCAATAGTTAATGAAGAGCATATATTCTGTTGCGTTGGGTAAGTTTGTCTTCAGATCCTGTCTAGCTGAGAGCTGTTGGAGCTGATATGGAAGCAAGTTAATAGATATATTTTGGGGCAGTTTTGGCATGGTATGACTTTGGCAAGCGACAGTGCTGAAGCTGTTAATGTCAAAGCCTGTGAAAAGAACACCACGGAGGACAGAAATAGTGTCTTTTATTAGACAAACTTGTAGAAGTGAGAACAAGCTGAAATACTTTGATCAGGAGCCCATTTTGATCATTTGAGTTAATGCTACCCAAATTCCTATTTGTATACTGGTATATAATGGGTATTTTGTCAAGCATGGCAAGCGTTAAGTTTACTATCGTTTTAAAGTCCATGAGAATTTTAAAAAGTGGAGTGGGGGAATTGGGGTAGAGGAGTTAGGTTAGTACAATCCATCTTTCCTCCAACAGGAATTTTTATTTCATTGAGTTACACAAATGAGAATGAAGTAGGTTATTTCCTTTCCCCCTCCACCTCCTTGGCACGTGCATATGTGGTTAGTTACTCAGTGTATGTTCAGACAAAGCCTGCATCTAGGAGACCTGAAATATTACAGGATTTAAATGCCTTAGCCGAAGGCTTCAAATGGTGCTGCTGTTTCACGTTCCTGCAAATATAGCAAGCCTTTGCTTCCTTTTAGTACCTGTGGCTACTAATGAAACTGGCAGTTAGTGCTTAACCAACTGTATTCAGTATCTCAGGAATGACTCAGGTGTTTATAAGTGGCAATATTTCTGATGTGCCTCAGCTCCTTTTGGGTAGAATTGCCCTCTTATTTGAGATGCATTAAGCATATGCGAAGGAAAGCTTTTAGGGCCACTCCAGGCCGTTTAAGGTATGTTACCTGACTTGGCTTTCTCACCTGTTTTGGACCACTCACTTGGTCTCTTCACTTTTCAGCTGTGTGGGACAGCTAAGGACTTATGTATCTTAAACTACCCAAATGTTCTTCTGCAGCAATTGTCTGATAGTAGGTGACACCTTAGGAGCACCTTTGTTGAAGTTACTCAACAGAACTTGAAACAGAGGAAGAATAAGATGATATATTGATATTGGCCTCATTATGGGTTTTTTAGCTTACATCTTTGACAGGTTGCTTCTTGAAGAATCAGTAACTTTAAACGTGGAATCGTACTTTGATACAATTGTCTTAAGTTGGGTTTTTTTTTTTTTTTAATCTTTCGTCTGAAAGCTTGTTGGGGGCCAGTTTGACTTGGAAATGAACTTTATCATCCAAGAAGGAGAGGGCATCACCTGCATGGTAGACTTGCTGGACAAGTGTGACATCACCTGCCAGGCTGAGGTGTGGAGCATGTTTACAGCAATCTTGAAGAAAAGTATACGCAACCTACAAGCATGCACAGAAGTGGGGCTTGTTGAACAAGTGCTCAAGAGGATTGATAGAGCTGACAACATGATTGCAGGTACAGTTTCACCCAGTGTATGACTCAAACTGTATGCCTTTTATGTAAAATTTCATGGAAATGTGAATTGATAAATTTTTTTAAATTTAATTGCATTTTATTAAGCAATTATTGCTGTTCTTTTCCTTTTCAGATCTCTTAGTGGATATGCTGGGTGTGTTGGCTAGCTATAACTTGACAGTTCGAGAGCTAAAGTTATTCTTCAGCAAGCTTCAAGGAGAAAAAGGGAGATGGGTAAAAGAAAACACAAAACTAAAACCATTTTTTGTAGCGTTGCTTATATTTTTCCTAATGTTCACAAGTGAAAAAGCTGTTTGATAACCTTTATAATAAACAAATTTTATATGTACCAAGAAACACAGGATGCTTTCTGGTATTATATCAATGAATCTTTTTACTTGCAAGCAGTTAAAATACAGTGTAGAATAGTGATGAAATTAAAATACAGCGTAGAATAGTGATGAAATTACATTTCTTCCTGGATCTATTTACTGGGTTGGTCTTTTTGAACACCTGGGAATAATATGATGACCCTAAGCAAGTGGTTTCATGCATGTTTTTATTTTTGTAATTCCGGTTGAAGGAAAAAAGATTAATTTTTTTTAACGACAAAAGAGAAATAAGTAAAAAAAGTCTACCTTGGCAGTTTGGTGTGCTCCTGTTTCCACATTTTTCTTTAACTGAAGATTGAAAAAATTTATCTAGTTAGGGAAGTGAGAATTTGTGGCAGAAATGGAAATGAAGGAAGTAAGCTCCAGCTGAAAAATTGTATCGTGTGTTTTCTCCTGTTCCTGTGTGAACTAGAAAGGGAGAAGAGGGTCTCTTTTTACTGTT